CGGCTTAAACTTTCTCCCCCAGCCTGTGAATGTTGCCCAAAACTGTTTCGGGGGGGGGATGAATTATGTGTGGGTTGGTTGGGAACAAGGGGGGGGGAGGGGGGGGGGGGGCAGAGAGGTGGCCGGTTTGGTCTAGATTGGAGGTCTGGAGTGCGCCTTTGGAATGAAGAGGGACAACATGCGGCCGTTCGACTCTTTGCACCCACAACGATGGCCGGTTTCATCTGTCGTTTCAAAACTGTAGCTGCATCATCATCAGTGGCAAATCACCTGCTGCCGTTGGCCTCGTACCAGGCTTGGATGTGCACGTTGCGGAGAGCGTTCAGCGCACGGCCCAGCTGCTCCTGAGGGTTGGCGTTGTCAGTGAACCAACGTCAGTGAAGTGGATTGTTGAGGGGTGCGTGCGCGGAAAACGAATGCAGAGTAGACGATTCCAGCGACCCAGCCAGCGAGCACAACCAACCACGGTGCACGTTGTGTGTAACACAGAAGTCCCAGGCCGCCCAAATGTCGCTATCGTGCGCAACGCGTCTGTCTGGTACAGCTCATGAGGTGACTCTGAGAGCCGTTTCGCTGCCGCTGGCAACGTGCGGCCTTTCAAGGGTAAGAGAGAAGGCCACTCGTCACGTTCACCTCTTTCGGACCCCCCCCCCCCCCTTTCCTCCTGCCTCTTTCGAATCATGCTGGACAATGGTTTCAAAACACTCGACGCGTGAGGTTTGCCCCCAAACGAAAAGCGATGGTCCGGTCCGGTCAGTTTTCCAACGGGGGGCTCTAGTAACGTCGACTTTGTAACCGAACACACTGAAAGGAAATGTGCCATACCTCCCGTTGCCACCCTGGTCAACCCCCCGCATCGTCTCTAACCTAACCCACCCGTTCCAGTCAACCATCGCATCCCGACGTATACACGCGAGTACCTGCAGATGTAGGGGGGAAGAGGAAGCCTCTGCACTTGAGCCACTGCCGTTGCTGTCGCTGACGATACCGTCGATACTGCCGCTGCCGCTGCCGCTGCCTGGAAACATGTTGCTGGGTGCTCCCCCAAGTTGAAGGGGTGACAGCATCCTCGAGGGCATAGACGCCTGAACTCGGCATAACGACATACCGAAACAATAACGAAGAGGGCGATGGCACCCGTTGGAGTCATCGCCATGGGGTGCGATCTACTGTACGCAAGCAAGAACGACGTTTGATTTCACTCGATTTCGGTACCGGTGTGTCGGCTTCATCGCGGGAGGAAAGGAATGGCCGGGGCGGGGGTCATTGCTGAAACGGGGGTATCGCCGCTTCTTGCACAGGGCGATGTTGCTGCATCTGAAAAAAATGTTGTAAAATGTAGAGGTTTCGGCTTCGAGGGGGGTCAGGCACCAAGTTCTGAGTTGAGATTGACGGACGGCACTGGCTCCAGGGTATCCGGGGTGTGTGTGTCGTGAGGAGCATAAACCCAACTAGCACCACCAACAACTCCTCTGGCTTCGCGAGCTACCCGGCACGACATCAGCAAGGCAAAGTAGACGGAAAAAATCAGAAGAATGATACATGCCTCGGGGGGTAGCTGTCTCGTGGAGGGGGAGAGCGTCATGGAGAGGTTGACGACGTCGGCAATAGGTGGCTCGTGGCCCGATCTCGCGCCTGACGTTGCACCTGACGGCTGTACGGAGAGGTTTGAGTTGAGTTCCTTGCGGCATTGTCGTTGCTGCCGCTGTTGCTGTTTGTGTTGCTGCTGTTGACGTCGCTGGTGTTGCTGCTGAAGGGATTGGAGCGTTGCGAGTTGTTGCTTTTGCAGCTGCAGAAGTTGTTGCTGCTGGCGGTGTTGCTTCTGCTGCAGATCTTGCTGCTGCTGCCACTGCCATTCCCGGAGCCGGCGCTGTTGCCGTTCTTGATGCAAAAGCGACTGAAACGGAGGTCGAGTTCCAGCAAGTAGCGAAGGCAGGAGTAGCGCCACGAGGGGGTTGGGGGGGCGGGGGGCGGGGTAAGAAACGGTTTTCTCTTTTTGCCGTCTGCGTGTATGTGCGCACACATATTCATACGCGCGCTTCGCGTGCCAAGGTTCCAGGCGGTTACCCCGGTCGTTTCACTTCTCACAGCCGCAATGTTTATCAGTCCATAAGTCCACCACTCTGTGCTTGCAGCACGCTCCCCCCCCCGCCCCCCTTATCGCCACTCTCGATATTCGCAATATCTCAACCCGCTCCTCTTCCATAATCTGTGCAGCACAAAAAGGGTGTGTAGTACACGCACCGTGACCATAGGATGTTGCGCGCTCAATTGTTCTCCCGATGCTTGACGAGGTCCGACCGCCCCCTTTGCTGCATGCTGAGGGTCACCAAGAGGTAGGGCCTTCTTGCCGTTTGTGACATAGGAGTACGAGAACAATCCAATATGGCGGGGGGGTAGACGATTCGTGAACGGGGGTGGGAGTCGATGCCAACGTGCGAACTGTGGGTCGGGGGGGGAGCGTCCGTATTGTTTGCTGCTGCGCTACAGCAGTGATGCAGTTTGACCATTGACAGCGTGACTGAGCACCACTCTTTTTCTTCCTCCCAAAACAAAAACACGGCCAGTGTGCGGTTTCTTTTTGGGCATTACTGCTGTGTGAGCCACAACATGTTTTCGCTTTGCCACGGTCCTCACGGGTTATAGCCTGCTGGCGAGGGTTCGCTACAAGCGATGTCGCCGATTTCAATGGTAGTGTCCGCAACCATGACGGTGTATGTGCCACCACCGTGACCCTATGCCCTACTCGCCACTGGGTGTAAAGTAGTGCAATCAGCCCGGGAACTCGGGGAGAGAAACGTTCCGTGTGACCACGGATCGAACTCAGATCCTACTTGGGCAGAAAAGCTTTTTCTGTGAACCCTGATACTAAGATATGGTTAAAAAAATCTACCCACCCGATGTTGTTGTTGTTGTTGTTGTTGTTGTTGTTGTTGTTGTTGCAGACCAAGCCGCTGCGGTTGCTCGCAGTTCTGCTGCCGGTCCTGGCGATCCTGATGTTGCTGCTGATGCTGCCGCTGCCGCGGACGCTCTTGCTGTCTCAGGTATATCTGTCGACCAACCTCCGGCGGAACACTCCCTCCGCAGCGATTCCCCACACGCGTCCGCATCCGCATAGTAGTAGCCGTCGGTGGTACCGGAGGGAGGGGGGCCAAGCGCCGGTGGTGTAGCTGCCGCTTGTTGCCGTGATCGACGGGTTGCTCGGAGATGTGTTGCTTCCGTGCTTCCCCCTTCAACGGCACAGAAAAGGAAACCGGGGGGGGGGGGGGGGGGT